CAGCCTCCCAAGTAGCTGGGACTACAGGCACGTGCCACCATGCCCGGCTAATTTTATATATATATATTTTTAGTTGTCCAGATCATTTCTTTCTATTTTTTTAGTAGAGACGGGGTCTCACTCTTGCTCAGTCTGGTCTCGAACTCCTGACCTTGAGTGATCCTCCTGCCTCGGCCTCCCAGAGTGCTAGGATTACAGGAGTGAGCCACTGCACCTGGCCAAGAAGTCAGTTTAAACCAGTGATTTTCAGACAGGGACTACTGTCTCTCCACCAGCCCCACAGGACATTTCTGACAATCTCTGCAGATATTTTTGACCTTTCCAACAGGAAGGGAGGAGACGGTCACCTAGGAGAGGTCAGGAATGTTGCTAAACACCCTACATTGCACAGGATAATCCCCAAGAAGAAAAAATGGTCAGGCCCAAAATGTCCACATTGCTCAGATTGAGAAACCCTCTTTTAAACTACAGCTCTAGATTAGATGGTTAGTCAACTTCTAGATCTCACCAAATACGAATTTAGATCTTAAAAGTAAAATCTAGAAAATCCTTACAGCCTCTTGGCCGTTTCTACCTACGGCCAAAAAATTGTGATCAGATCATGACCTGCTAAAGCAGTACTCACAAAAGGGGACCTTAAGACACAGTGTGCAAGCTACTGAACCAGAACCAAGGCATGGGCAGCTTTGAGAAGTTATACTTCCTTATTTTAAAAAAGAAAAAGTCACGAGTGTAGCGTAAAACTTCAGTCTACAGTATTTTGTTATTTGGGCTTGCTGCAGTTTTGGTCAAAGTTCAGTATTGTTCCTATACTAACACTCTTTCATCCTAGCTGATGGAGACACAAGCGCCTGTTGAGGCAGCTTCCACCAGTTTAAAAAAAAAAACCCACTAAAATCTTTTTACCTGCAAACCAGAGCAGCAGCATTTAGGCGACAGCATTAATGACTGAGTATGAGAAGGACAGACACCATCCAACAAAACCCATGTAACCGACTAGTAAAAGTTAAGCTGCTATGTCTTTAGCTCTCTAGCCTAGAATTAGAACTCAGAAAAGTGATGGTTGTCAGAGGGATATATATTAAAAACATTTATTTGAATTGAAAAATGATGCACCTTTTGTGGAAGAAAGGGAGTCTGATTTGGCTGATTGAGGACTGACTTTGCCAATTAGTTAAATCTGTGGCATTAAGTTTTTTTAAAAAAAATTTTTAAGTATGCAATAAGATAAAAGCATTTTATAAAAAATATATTTCACAAAATAGGCTGGGCACAGTGGCTCACACTTGTAATCCTAGCACTTTGGGAAGCCAAGGTGGGAGGATTGCTTGAAGCCAAGCGTTTGAGAAGAGCCTGGGCAACATAGCAAGACCCCATCTCTACAAAAAATTTTTAAAAAATCAGCCAAGTGTGGTGGCATGGGCCTGTGGTCCCAGCTACCCAGGAGACTGAGGCAGGAGGATCACTGAAGCTCGGGAGTTTGAGGTTGCTGTGTGCACCACGGTCACCGGCACGGTCACCATGCAATGCAGTAGGTCCCAGAAGCTTATTTCTTCTGTCTAACTGCAACTGGGTACCTTTGACCAACATCTCCCCTTCCCCCATACACCACCCCAGCCTCTGATAACCACTATTCTACTCTCTACTTCTGTAAGTTCAACTTTTTTAGATTCCACATAAAAGTGAGATCATGTGATATTTGCCTTTCTGTGCCTGGCTTATTTCACTAACATAATAGCCTTCAGGTTTACCCACGTTGTTGCAAATGACAGAACTTCCTTTCTTTTTAAAGGCTGAATAGTATTCCATCATAAACATATACTACATTTTATCCATTCACTTGCTGCTGGACACTTAGTTTGATTCCATATCCTGGCTATCGTGAATAATGCTGCAATGAACACACAAGTGCAGATATGTCTTCGACATACTGATTTCGTTTCTTTTGGGTATATATCCAGATGGAGGATGGCTGAATTACATGCCAATTCTATTTTTAGTTTTGTTGAGGAATCTCTATACTGTTCTCCACAACGGCTGTACTAATTTATATTCCCACTGACAATGTGCAAGCGTTCCCTTTTCTCCACGTCCTTGCCAACACTTGTCATCTTTTATTTTTTTGATAACACCCATTCTAACAGATGTGAGGTGGTATCTCATTGTGATTTTAATTTGCATTTCTCTGATGATTAGTGTTGTTGGGCATTCCACTTGAGATATATTCTGGGTTCTGATGGGCAGAGTAATGAGCAAACAGTCGGTAATACACAGACCCAGCATTCTCCAGCTCCACTGAGATTCTTGCAAGGCAGGAGTTGCCTGTGCTCAGCCCTGTGGGCTCTGCCTTCATTCCTGAGCACAGCAGGTGAGCAGACACAGTCAACCATAGGGCACACTCTGGACATTTCCAAGGGACTCTTTGGTCCACTGGTGCCTGGAACAGAATGATTCTGTTCCAGTCATTCATGAATGTCATCCCCAATCAAGAATTGAGGGGTCCAATGAGATGGACACATACTAGGTACTTATCAGATTTGGCAAGGTTCCTGAGCTGCCATATTTTCTCAAATTTGGAAGTACTCTTTGACATCCTTAGGCCATCACCTTCACCTTACAAATGGGAAACTGAGCCCCTGAGAGGAACATCCCTCTACCCTACCCTGTCCCAACCAGGAGTATACATTCAACCAGGGGCAAAGTTGGATCTCTCTACTCCCAGACATGCTCTTCCGACAGGATGCAGACCAGAGGTGACTTGTTGGTAATTTGGTCTGCATCATAAGGATGCACAGGGCTGGGATAGGCTTCCTAGGGGAACACATGAACTCTTACAGAGGTACAGAGGCAAGAGTAAATGTGAATGGGAGATGTCACGCATGGGGACAATTTGTCCAGAAGGACATTTTGCAAAACTGCCAAATTAGCAGTGTTTTCAGGGTCTTCATCACGACCCTGTCCTGATCCTCTTCTTTTCAGTAATTGTAACATTTTCTCCTAGTCTCCTTCCGCACCAGAATCAGGCACCCATAGATGATGTCTTCTTCTTCTCCTTCTGTTTCTCTTTCTCCTCCTCCTCCTCCCTCTCCTCTCCCCACCCTTTTTTTGAGACAGGATCTCACTGTCACCCAGGCTGGAGTGCAGTGGTGCCATCATGACTCACTGCAGCCTGGAATTCCTGGGCTCAAGCGATCCTTCCACCTCAGCCTCCCAAGTAGCTGAGCACACACCTGATTCTGAAATTTTTTATAACAATGAGGTCTCACTCTGCTGCCCAGGTTGGAATAGACTTCTTTTTTTAACAGCAAGACATTTGGCACAATTTTATTGTAATCATTCAGAATTTTAGTTCCAGAATAATACTGATTTTCTTTCATATCATGTCAATTACTTTAAAAACATTATGTCCTGTCTGTTTGGGGTTACTTTCTAACAATTGCATTAAACCTCATTTTCTCAGTAATTGCGTGGACTTAACTGTAAATTTTTCAAACAGCTTTATTAGGATATCATTGACATATAAAATTTTATACATTTAAGGTGTGCCGCTTGGTGTTTTGAAACACATATACATTGTGAAATGATCACCACATTGCAGCTAATTAACATATCTATCACCTCTATATAGTTACCATGTTTGTGAGCGTGTATGTGTCGAGAAGATTTATTTTAAGATCTATCCCCTTAGTAAATTTCAAGTATACAATATAGTATTGTTAACTATCCTCACCATGCCATACATTATATCCACAGCACTTATTCACCTTGCAAACTTTGTACCCTTTGACAAACAGCACCCCATTTCCCGCTCCCCTGGCAATCACCATCCTACCCACTGTGTCTACAAGTCAAAGGTTTAGACCATACAAAACCTGTATCTGCTCTGGCTCAATTCTTAAGCATCTTATGGCAATTTTACCAGGGTAACCGTGTCACCAGAGTTCTTAATGTGCAGTTCTTAATGTGTCCCGCTCCCTTTTTGGGTGTCATCAGAAAACCCAATGACCTCTTGTTCTCTGAAAACTGCATATAGGGAGATGTGAATATCTGCGTATGGTAGGCATGAATTATTCCGCCTCAGAGAGACCAGACCTCACAGGGCACTTTATTAGGGGGAACTGGAGGATTCAAAGGGATAAATGGGGACCATGAAAGTTGAAGAGATAGGGTCTCACACTGAGAAGAGGTCAAAGGGCACAGGGCATTATGTTTGAAGAGAAGCCAAGCTGGAGGAACTGGAGTAAGCAAATCCCAGGTTCAGTTTTTGGACCTGCCAAGGTCTTGGAGGCTGAGATTTGGCCAGTGGAAACCAACGTGGGGCATCCGTCAGACACACATGGAGAGAGCCCTGGACTACGAGCCAAACCCTGTAGGTCGTTCCGGCTCCTCGTTATCCTATCCAGGAAGATGAGTCTGTGAGACAGAAGGATAAAGGGTGAGATGCTTGAATCCTGGCCACCTTAGGAACCAAATCTTGCAGTTAATGGGAAAAAGGAGGTGGGATCATTTTTACATCTTTTGGGAGGAAAAAAAAAACAGTAGCGAGGTGAGTTTAGGAGCCCATGGAGTGATTGTGAGTTCTGATTTGTTCAGTGGGGTCCAGTTTTTGCCTGTTGCCCCTGTGTAAGAATTAATGGCACCCCACTTTGAAACACTCTCAAAAGTGTCTTGGTTTGGCCAATAAAGCATGTCATTGCCTTAGCTATAAATCAACTTAAAAAAGGAAGAAAAGTGGCTACAAAATTTGGTGGGTAGGAAAGGCCTGTCATGATCGGCTAGGGAAGGTGCCTGACCTCCTTCTGACTTGGCCTGGGATGCCCTACCGCTTCTGTTTATGCACCCCCTTCTCTCTGCACCCCTACTCCCCTCATACTTGCCAATTCCCTTTGACTACTGCCTCCCTTCCCACCCTCTCTTTCCCAAAATATCCTTCTACTTACACCTCTGCAAGGTGCATTCATACTTCCTGATTGGAGCTGGCTCTGTCCGCCCCAAGCCTATCAAGGCCTTGGAACAGACCGGCCAACACCCAGACCTCTCCATGTGGCCGTGGTGAGCACAGGAGACTTGGGCCCCTGGGACTTACATTTTTCTTGGCAGGTGACCATGCAGATAGCTTCAGATTGGAAGTTGTTATTATTCCCTTGGCAACCGCCGTAGATGAATTCGGAGCAGCGCTCAGTTTCTTTATTATACCACCAGCGTGGAATGTAGGCCAGGCAGGGGCCAACCTTCTGTGGCAAACCGCATATGTCTGCAGGGAGATGGCAGAGCACAGCGGTGTGGGTACCTGTCTCCCTGGAGAATGTCCATCTTTTTCTTCCTCGGGCCACTGCTCTCTTTGTCTCCCCTGAGAGGCGAATTTGGCTCAGGGCTGTGCTCGCAATTCAGTGTGAATCTTGACCACTCAGTTTACGTCTCTGATCCTTGACTTCCTCATCTGTGAGACAAGAATATAAAATCCCACCCTGCTTGTCTTGCAGGGCAGCCGTGAGGAACAGCTGCAACACAACATGGCCTCTCGTACTGTGCTTCCCCAACATCTGAACACTAAATCTCGCTGATTTTGCTCCCAAATAGCTCTCCTTTATTTCCATGCTGCCACTTTCTTAACTCAAGCATCATTATATATTTGCCAGGACTGTCATGAAAGGCCACCAGCTGATCTCCAAGGCTTCTCCAATCTGTTCCACATTGGTTTCCAGAATGACTGATCCATTGGGCTCAAAGTAAAGTTCTATCAAAACCCAGAAGGACTTCGGAATCCATTTCCTCCTCCTCCTCTTCCTCCTTCTCCTCTCTGACTTTATATCTCCTGTTGCCCCCAACATCCACCCTTTGGAACTTCATGCTCTAAGAATAATCACATTCTCACACAACTCCATGCCTTCGCACACGGCTGAAATCTCCATTCCTCTCTTGCTAACTGGCTGCACTCCTGTTCATTCTTTAAAACCCTTCCCAGACATCAACTCTTGGATGATGCCCTTCCTGAATCCATTCTTTACCCCGTGTTTTTCTTAACTGCTTCTCAATCTTGAACATACTTTCTTCACTTCCATTTAATTTTCTGTTCATACTTTCTGTTTCCTCCATGAGAACATGAAGTTTTTGAGGATAGGGATTGTGCTTTAATGCCATCTTGGTACAGCAGTTCCTAGCAGATAATTTGGCACAGAGTGGATGCTTCAGGGGTATTCACAGAAACAAACAAACAAACAAACAAACAGACAAAAAACAAAAAGAATGTATCCTGAACTTAAAGAAGCATTTATTGAGCGAGCAACTGTTTTGCCCACAGTACTATGAGGTACAAATTGAGTCCTTTAGAATCTCTTAGTCTGAAGCACAACAGAACAATAATTATAGCACTTACTGAGTGCCGGGCCCTGTTCTTAGCATCTGACATACATTAACATTTAATCTTATGAAGTAGGCCCTCATGTTGTTCTCATTATGCAGATAAGAAAACTGAGGTTTGGAGAGGCTGAGTAACTTTCCTGAGGTCACGTGGATGGTAAGGGATTCAGATGTGGATAATCCATTGCTCTTAGGACCAAGAGCAAATCCCTTACCCCCACCCCCAGCAAGTCCAGCTTCATCTTTCTCATCTCCTACTGTGCCTATGCTACTCTCCGCATCCCTGCCTTGTCGGGCCTGGGCGTGCTGTTAACACAGAGCCTTCGCACGTGCTGTTACCTGTGCCTAGAAGGCTATTCCCTCCCACTATTGCCTATGTGCTACCCATCCTTCCGATCTTAAATCATGGATTCCTTTTCCAGGAAAACCTTTTCTGACCTCCCTGGCCACAGAGAGCAAGTGGAGCCTGTCATGGGAGCCAGGCCACCAATGAATATTTGTTGAATGAATAGTCCCTGATGGTCTTTAGAGCCCAGTAATATGGGCAGAGAGGAAAGAGTGTAGGAGGTCTAAGGTGGTCAGGGAAAGAATCGCTGATTTACATAGACAGAGAGGCCTGGAGAAAAAAGCCAGGAAATACAGATCATATCCCTGTCTCTTGTAGCCATCATATAACCTGACACAGTGTTGGCATTTGATGGGACTTCAGTGGCTACTTGGCATCTCAGAGTATCACCGAAGAGTAGCCGAGAGAGCCTGTGGTCCAATACCCGCACCTGTCTTATGCATGGGGAAGGTGAGGCCCAGAAAGGCAAAACTACATTGCTCATATCACACACCAAAATAGGGGAGAATTGAAATGAAACCCATGCTTCCCAAGTCCAGCCCTGGCAGGTTTGTGTCAAGCAGAAGATATGCCAAGACTCCTGAACAGAGATCAGCCACCAGTGAACCAGGAGAGGGAGTCGGACAACGCAGTGCAGGTAGGGTAGGAGGTAAGAGCTTTGGGTAATTCGCAGGGTCTCTGAGTTACCTTTTCTGAGGTCTAAACATTTCTTTCCACAGCTAAACAGGCAACACTTCATCTGTTCCGGGCAATGTCTGTGCTTGATACACTGGCTCCTTTCTTCAATTTCGCATTTTATTCTAACTTTGGGACAATTTTCTAAAGGAGGCAAAGACATATTCCCTTGAGGCCTTAAAGGGGCCAGTGCTCTCCCTTCCGAGGCCCAGGGCACCACTGCAGAGTTAGGGAAACTTGTTTTCACTTCTCCTGTCCCCAGAAGGCAGTGACACTAGTAGGGCTCAGGAATTTCGCACCACCACCCACATCCCCAACCCCATATCAACTCACCTAATCCCTAAACCAGCCCCTACCCCCTACCCTCACCACCTGTAAGGTTCCAGAGAGAAGGATGCTTTCCTCTAGTACTATTCTGGTCACTCTGCCTTCCTGTGTTTGGATGTTTCCCCAGGAGGCATGGTAGCTGGCGATGATTGAGACCTCCATTTCTGGCAGCAGGTGGCTGGGCTTTTGGATTTTGCACCACCCTTGGTATGGCAGCTACCCTCTAAGAAACTTGATCTCCTCATTTGCCTCTAGGGTTGTTCTGAAGACTAATGCAACAAAGTTTGAAAAGCCATTGTCAAACTGCCTGGGGCAAAATAATAATGACTAACATTGAGGAAGTTCTTACTATGTGCCTGGCCTTTTCTCCTTAATGCCCAATACAACTCTATGGGGAAGTACTATTAATATTCATATTTTATAAACAGAGGGATCTGAAACACAGGTTGGTTATGTGAACTTGCTCAAGATCACACAGCTACTAAGGGGTGGAGGCAGGATTTGAACCTACAACGTGGGCTCCTGAGCACTCACTTTCAACCGCTACTTTTAAAGTGCTCAGTATATTTTAGCTGCCAATTATGGGCCTTCATAGTTCAGCATTCCAAGGGACTTCTGGGGACCATTTTTCAGCCCAAAGGCAAGGATCCTCTGGGTATGGGTGTGAGGGTGGGTGTGGGTGTGGGGAAACCTTTGGGCGCTGCCACGGGAGGATGTGGGAGCTGATGAGGTGGTCCTGGGGGAGTGGCCTGTTTTTCTTATGGGAAAGTTCCGTGGGCTTCCCAGTCCCTTAGTCCGTTTCATGAGGTCTAGGTCCAGGCACCTCCTGGAAGAACTCCTTGCAATGGCAGTGAGGAGTCAGTTGCCACAGACTTAGGCTCCTGCATTCACCAAAGTCAGCTTGCCAAGAGGAAGGGGGCTGAAAAAATGGCTCCAAATAACTGCCCCTCCCACCCAGGATCCCAGGCTGAGACAGAGGAAAACACCCCTCATCTGTGAAATTGTTCCTTTTTCCCTCCTACCCATTGAGTTCCCTTTCTTCACCGCAAGGACAGAGTCCCCAGCACTTACTGATGAAGAGCCCTTCAACCAGCCCAGGTCCCTGGATGCCCTCCAGGAGGATGAACGGTACTAGGATCGGCAGAAGTCCTGAGAGTGCCATTTTAGAAGGTACTGGCCCAGCTGGTTGCACCAAAACTAGGAACTGCTGCTCAGGAGCTCCTGCCTTTGAACTTTTGTTTTCTTTTTTCTTTCTTTCTTTCTTTTTTTTTTTATAATACTGCCTCTGAACTTTGGATGCTCCAGTGCAGCCTAACATTTCAGGAGTGGGCGCTGGACACACTCGCTCCGCCGGGAACACCAACTCCCCGAGGCCATCAGTGGGATTAGCTGGTACCTACCCTGCGGGAAGGGGCTCTCGATAGGCCGCTCTTAATCCTCAGCAGTCTGAGCCCCTCTGGCTCTCAATCCTCAGCAGTCTGAGCCCCTCTGGCTCTCTGGTCTGCAGGGGAGATGGGGTGGGTCTTGCCTGGGGCTCTCCAGGCTTCCTTAGCAGAAGGGCGTGTTTAACTGCAGAGTCTCCCATTTCCCAGGGGGAGTTTGGAGGTCAAGAGTATCCTGGTTCTCATCTTTCTTTCTAATTTTACTCTCTTCCGGGCATGTCTATTTTTCTCACACCGTTTCTTTTTCTCCCTTTTATACCTCACTGTGCCTTGTACCCTGTGCTTTTCTCCTTTCCAGTGGGTCTCTCTGTGTCCAGGATCCTTTCTCCCCACCCTTCCCTTCCCTGTCTCTCCTCTTTGGTGCACCCATTTTCTTGAGCCATTGTCAGAGTAACGGTATTGTCCCGAGTGGGGTTTGAGGGAAGAAACAGGTTGATTCCAGGCTGCAATGAACCTTCAGAAAGTGTCTGTCCAGGTCATGGTATTTGAAAGAAGGTGATGAAAGCTTCTATCATAGGGTGCGATTTAGAATTAGTGATGCAGGAGAGAAATACGAAATGCCAGTTGTGGTTTCAGAACGAGCTGCCACAGCGGGGGCCGAAGAGCGTTCCACTGGCCTTGCTGGAGAGTGGCAAGCTCTCTGGCAGTGGACGCCATGTGGGAGTGAGTGAATCTGCAGAATTCGAGTGTACACTGCAGTGGGGACCACCGCCACCCCTCCCCACGTGCTCTCCGCTCACCTCCAATTTCACCTGCAGCTGCAAGAGACAGTCCCACTGCACATTTTTTCTTAATCCATTTTTAAAAATTGAGGTAGAATTTATGTCACATAAAATTAGCCATTTTAAAGAGAACAATTCAGTGGGCTTTTTTTAGTACATCCTCAATGTTGTGTAACCACCACCTCTATTGGTCCAAAACATTTTTATCACTCCAAATGAAAGCTCCCTACCCATTAGCAGTCACTCCCGAATTCCTCCTAACCCACTCCACCCCCTGGCAACCACTAATCTACTTTCTATCTCTAGAGATTTGCTTATTCTGAATATTTTATATAAATGGAATCATGCGATGTGCTACCTTTCGTGCCTGGCTTCTTTCACTTAGCATAATGGTTTTGAGGTTCATCCACAGGGTAGCATTAGCGCTTCATTCCTTTTTTCTGGCTGAATAATATCCAGTGCACGGGGACAGCCTCCCACCCTCAGTGCCACAGTCCCTACTTCTCTGCTGTGGGTTTTCTCCGGCTCCCTGGTAGCTTGTTCTGCTTGCATGCAGAACAGTCTGGAAGAGCGAGGGATTTAGCACCCCAGGCATCCGGTGGGGAATGGAATCAGTGGATAAGTACCTCAGCCTCCCTGTCCCGGGAGATAGATGAAGATAATTTGAAGGTCTGTTTTACAAGGTTCTTTAGAGGATCCCCGGTGGGATTGAGCCATAATTTCCCACGGTGGGAACCAGCTCACAGTCGACCCTTCTCTCTTCCCTGAGTCACTTACCGCACTCCCCACCCTGTGCTTCTTGGGAGAGATCTCCCAAATAGACCACCTGCGCCCACGCCCTTGTCCAGGGGCAGTTTCTGGGGCATCCAAACTAAGGTGACGTTCATGGGCCCTTGCCTTAAAAGGGTTTTACAATTTTTTTGAAGAAACAGAGGAGGATAACAATATCCCTGGAGCTCTCAATTCTCGAGATCGTGACTGTCCTCTGTTCACTGATGTCACCAGGGGCATCAACGTGCCAAGCGGATGTGCGTTACTCAGCCTGAGAGGAAAGGACTAAGCCAGGTACTTTATTGGGAAAACTGGGAGCCACACAGTATAAATGGGGAGCTCTAGAAGTGAGAGATAAGGGGTAAGGTATAAATATGAGATCAAACCAGAAGGAGATTATTCATGAAAAGGGGTGGAGAGGGAGGAAGGGGAGGCAGACCCTGCGGTTCGGTTTGGGAAGAGGTACAGCCTCGGAACGCTGAGAGTGGAACTGTGGAAGCCGAGCCGGAGCATCAGTCAGGTTCACGGACAGGTCCTCGGAGCATGAGCCAAATCCTGGCCGTTGTCCCAGTGTGTCCTTATCCATTCAGGAAGAGGAACCTGTTGAGAAAGTAGGACAGGACCAGCTCAGCATCTTGGGCTCAGCTTATCTTTGGAACTTGCAGTTTTGTTTATACATCTTTTCACAGGAGGACGTTAAAAGGAAGTGGGTTTGCTTGGGGAGCTACCCATCTCCTTCAAGGAAAACTGAATGGGAGGGGATTGCTGGCAAAAGCCATGTTAAAGAAATTGACAGCCTGGAAGGGTTGGTTGGCTCACGTGTCTAGGCTGGATGTCCCGTGACCCCTCTGCAATAGGTTTCTGAGATGTTACTACGTCCACACCTCCCTCCGCCCCTCCTACCTCCCCTCGTACTTGCCAGCTTCGATTCAGCTCCGCGTCTCTGTTGATCCTCAATTCCCAGAAAGCCACATTGTCTACCCCTTTTCGAGGTGCCCTCTTACCTCCTGCTTGGAGCTGGTTCTGTCAGCGCCGGGTCTGCCAAGGACATAGCTATCCCGGGATGGACCAACCAGCACACCCAGACCTCCCGGCGTGGCCTTGGTGAGACTGGGGCCCCAGAACTCACTTTTTCTTTTGGCAGGCGCTCAGGCAGATGGCTTTGGTTTGGAAGTTGTTATTGTTTCCGTGGCAGCCACCGTAGATGAAAATGGAGCAGGTATTATTCTCCTTACTGTACCACCAACGAGGAAAGTAAGCCATGCACAGGCCACTATCTTTGGGCATAGCGCATACATCTGCCAAGAGAGCCCGGAGTTGAGAACTCAGAGTACCCACCCCTGGAACAAAATTGCTGCCCCTGGCAACCACCATAGATGAAACTGGAATAAACTCCTCTTCCCTATTACAGCGCAGGACCCAAGCTCCGCTGACATGTTGCACATATTGCCAGGGAGACCCCAGAGTGGGTGTCTGCGTCCCTGGAGACAGGGTCGATGCGGATGCAGTTAGTTGAGTTCATCCCAAAGTAGGGTGGGCCCCTAATCTGGTGTGACTGGTGTCCTTACAAGAAAAGAGTAAATTTGGACAGAGTCACACACACAGGGAGAGCACCGTGTGAACGTGAAGACAGAGATCGGGGTGATGCGTCTGCAAGCCAAGGAACACCAACGATTGCCAGCAAAGCGCCAGAAGCTAGGGGAAGGCGTGGAACAGATCCTCCCTCGCCATCCTGACACCTCACAACCCCAAGAGGAACCAGTCCTGCCGATCCCTTGACCTCGGACTTGTAGCCTGCAGCACTGCGAGACAATCCATTTCTGTTGTTTAAGCCACCCGGCCTGGGGAACTTTGCTACAGCACCACCAGCAAACCGATACAGGCCCCGACTCAACAATGTCTGCATAGTCCTGCACAGCGAGGGTAAATCACAGCCAGACAATTAAGTCCTGTTGATTTTTACCTCCTAAGACCTCACCTCTCTGCCAGTCTCTTCAACTGAAGCCTCAGCATCTCACATCTGGGCTGTCGAGATAACCTCCCATCCATTCTCCTGCCTCCAGTCCTGGCCCCTCCAATCAATCCTGTATGCTGCCCCCCAGCGAGAAGGCTCTGGTGGGTCTGAAAGCTAAGCTGATCCTGTCATTCCACGGATAAGACCTCCCTTGACTTCGTGACATAGTCCTCCCGTGACTCACAAGGCCCTTCATCATCTGGCTCCAACTGTGGCTCTGGCCTCCTCCCCGGGCACAGTGCCCGTGAGCTGCACGCTCCGGCAGTACTCAGCACACCGTGCTCCGCCAGCCCTCCATGCCTTTGCCCCACCGTGTGCCCCCTGCTGCTCATTGGTGACACTCCCATTCTTCCTTCAAAGCCTTTCTCAGACATCGGCTCCCCTGTGACATCTCTCCTGATTCCACTCTGCATCCCATACGGCCACACCTTGCTTCTGAATCTTGTGTGCATGTTCGTCGTTCGTTTACATCTTCGGTCTCATCCCTGAAGCTGTGAGCTTCTAGTGAGCAGGAATTGTGTCTGATTTCATCTTGGAATCCCAAATCCCTAACAGGTAGCCTGGCACAGTACAGGACTTTATGGAATGTTGAGGGCAAAATAAAATATATCCTGATCTGAACTGAATAAATCATTCATTGAACACCTACTATGTGCTAAATGCTATAAGGGACAAAGAAAAGGCCATGGCCTTTGCTACGTAGGAGTTCCCAGTCGGGAATGACAAATGATTTCAGCTAATATGTATCAGGTGGCCGTTATGTGCCCAGCATTGCTCTAAGCACTCTACACCCATCAATTTACTTGATCCTCAAAATGACCTTTAACATTGGTCCTTTCATTATCTGAGGAAACTGAGGCACAGTGAGGGCAAGTTGTTAATTTTCCCAAGATTAAAATGCTGGTAAAAGCTGGACCAAGATGTGCACCAGGAAGTCTAGGTTCAGAATCGTCACCTGCAGGTGTGTGAACGACGTAGCCCTTGCCTGCTCACTCCACTCCCCATCAAACCCAGTCCACTTCTCCTCCCAAATACCTCTCCAACGCCCCACTCTTCCTCATCCCCTCCGTCACCATTTTCTTTCATCTTGATGCCCTTCAAGATACTCCGTTCCTCCTCTTTCCCTCTCTGAAGGCGTAGTACAACCTGATCACATCCCCAACCCTCCTCAAGGGATTTCTGTGGCACTTAGGATCAAGGCGAGACTCTCTAACCTGGCCCACCAGACCTGGATTGTTTAATCCCCGCCTACCTGGGATCTTTCTTCCTTGTACCACGCTCATGTGCACTCTGCATTCTGGCCTCCCTGGGCCGCACCACTGAGCCTTTGTGCATGCTGTGCCCTGTGCCTAGAAAGCCCTTCCACTCCCTTTGTGCCTAAAATACTACCCATCTTTCTAAACTCAACTCCAGGCTTGCTTTCTCCAACAAGGCTTTCCCAACCTTCCTGGCCATGATGAGCAGGCCAAATCCTAGTATGGGTCTCAGAGGCACTCAATAAATATTTGTTAAACCAATAAATAAAGAATCTTTGATAGTCTTTTTGGAGCCCAGGGAGATGGGCATGGAGTGAAGATTGTAGCAGCAAAGGAAAAGCCCTCTGGTCTGGAGTGGGCAGGGGAGGATTGCCCTGTGTAGACAGAGAGGTGGTCACCCTAGAGCAAAAAGCTAGGAAATATAAATTGCTTAACTTATCATTGGCAGTGACAATGTTGGTATATGTTAGGACAACAATGGCCACCTGGGAACTCAGAAAATCATGATAGCAAAAAGTAGCCACGTAGCCAAAAAACCATCTGATTCAATTCCACTCCTTCAGCCATCTTTGTTTGGGGAAAGTGAGTCTCAGACATTCTCTGACGGGACAAGGACATTAGTAATGTCACACACCATATTCGAGGCAGTAATGAACCTACAACCCAGGTCTCTCGAATCCAGCAATCTTGTCCAGACACCACCCCTCCGTGAACCAGGGGAGAGTGCCAGTCCAGGCAGGCAGCAGGGGAGGACGTGGGTAGGGATGTTGGTTGGTTATTACGAGGCTCTGATGATTACCTTTTTTGAGATCTAAACATTTTTTTCCACAGCTGAAGATGCAGCACTTCTCGTTGTCCTGGCATTCTCTGTCCTCTGTACAGGAGTCCCTTTCTTGGAATTCACATTGCTCTTTGATTTTGGGGCATTTCTCTAGGAAAGAAGTAGTCTTACAACATGAGCCTTGGAGGGCACAGTGCCCACCCTTTTCTAGACACAAGACAATTCCAGGGAGACAGGGAAGTTTGCTTTCATTTTGCCCATTTCTGGGACTCCTTTTCGTTGGGGTGGCCTCACATGTTTCCCTACTGTGTACATCGCCTTCCCTGCCAACCACCTTCTTACCCCAATCCCCAGCCCCAGCCCTGCTAAAAGGCAGAATTTCTCAACCACTAGTGACATTTGAGCTGAATAACTCTTCATTGTGGGGGGCTCTTCATTGTGGGCAGCACCCCTCACCTCTACCCATTATAAGAGTAGCACCCCTAATGCCTCCCAACATTGCATATGTCCCCAGGAAGGCAAAATAGCCTTTTTTGGTTGAAGCTGGTTTAAGCGTATCTGCTCCTTTGCCTTGTTGAGGAGTCAATGTTTGGAAGTTCCTCTGAGGGGGCAATATTATTTGGTGATTCAGCAGTCCCCAACCTTTTTGGCATGAGGGACCGGTTTCATGGAAGACAATTTTTCCACAGCCTGGGGGGTGAGGTGGGGGGGATGGCAGGCGATGGGGAGCAGCTCTAAATACAGATGAAGCTTCGCTCACTCACCTGCTGCTCACCTCCTGCTGTGCAGCCCGGTTCCTAACAGGCTGCGGACCAGTTCCAGTCTGTGGCCTGGGGTTTGGGGACTGCAGCAGTGATTAATGTCACTCACCCTAGAATCAGTTTAGTTTTTGAATTCTAACTCTTGGTCTGCCACTTACCCTCTCTGAACCTTGGTTTCTTCATCTATAAAAGCATTTTGGCCTCACAGACTTGTGAGGAAGAAATGAGAGAGTGTGTCAAGCTCTAATCATAGTAAGTGATGCACAGTAATGTCAACTAACATTTCTTAAGTGCTTACTACAAGCCACACACTTCTAAGTATTTTAAATGTATTATCTCATTTAATCTCCATAACAGTTCTATGATATGAGTCCTGTTAATTTTCCCATTTTACAGATGAGGAAACTGAAGCACATGGAATTGAAGTAACTTGGCCAAGGTTATGTGGCTATCAAGATTTGGAGCCACTAAGTCTGACTCCAGATTCCAAAAACATGGAAATCCCTATGTTTTGAGTGTTCAGCAAATGGTAACAATTATCATTATTACCACAGAGTCATGGAGTATTAGTGTCTTAAGTTTAGAGGGACTTCTGGATACTGTCCTTTATCCCAAAGTCAAGGAATCCCTGGGGATGCAGGGGCGCTTTTTAGAGCTACATTTGAAAGAACCAGGAGCAGATAGAGATGATATCCTAAAAAGGGGGCCTGTCTTTCTCATGGGGTGAGGGGAAGGTCCCTTAGGCTTCCCAGATTCCAATTAACAAGCTCCTCCTATAAGTGTTAGATCCTGTGACTCTCCACCACCTTCCCAAGAAAGACTCTCCACTTTAAGGGGGCTGAAAGTGGGGATTGCCTAAGTCAGGGTTCCTGCGTTCACAGACAGGGTCTTCCAAACCTCTCCCTCCTCTCCCAACCCTGGACCAGGGCTAAGATGGTGGAAAGCAACCCAGATCTGACACTTTGTTCCTTCTTTTTTCCTCCCAGCAAACTCCCCTCTCCCCAGGGCAAGGGCTGAGGCCCAGTACTTACTGGGAACGAACCATTCGCTCAGACCAGGTCCCTGGGCATTCATGAAGAGGATGCATAGCACCAGGAGGCTCAAAAGTCCAGAAGATTTCATTCTGAAGAGGGACCTGCCTGTCTGGCGGTTCCAGAACTTGGAAATGTCTGGCTGCCTTGGCCCTGCCTATTCCTTCAGTAGCCAGCACCTCGGGTATAAGAACTGGAGACAAGCCAGCCACCCCCTTTCCTGCCGGGAACGCCAAGTTCCAAGGTCGGATATGGGACTAACTGGCACCCCCAGCTCACAGCACGGTGGGGAGGGTCTATTGTTGGATGGCTCCTGGCCCTGACCCCTGGGCTGTGCTGGGCTGGGCCCTCTGGTCAACCCAGGGAGTGGGCAAAGCTGATCTCACACTTTCCAGGCTGCCTTAGGCGTGAATGCCACCATCTCGGGTCTTCATCTTGGTAACCTGGAGAGCTGTGGAATGTCCTCATCCTTCATTCGTTTTGCATTTATGTGCATGCCAACTAGCACACCCCTTCTGTTTGTCCCTGACAATGTGTCTCTATCAATCTCTTGGTAACTCATTGTTTCTCTGGGACGCTTTGTGCCTATATCTAACTTTTTTCTTTCTCTTTTTTTGTGGGCCTCCCATGGTTTCTGTGTCCTTTTCTCCCTCTCCCACAGTTTCCTCCCATCCTTCTCCCTTTTATCTTCTCTTTGGGTCACTCAAATTCTCTAAGGCCAGAGAGTAAAGACGTTGCCACTGAGTGGGGTGTGGGGGAAGAATCGGGCTGATTACAGAGTCTTCAGCCGGTGTGTGTCAAAGCCATGTTGCTTTGAGAGCAGCAGAGAAGGTCAGAGCTTATAGGGGAGCTTCTACCTTCTGCCGCAAACTCCTCACTGTCTGAGGAGGAACGGTGAGATGAAGGGAGCTGCCCGAGAGACTGCAACTGAATACAGTTCAGTAACACCGCAGAGTGTGTGGGTTCTAACTGGGCTGGTGGAAGAGCTACAGGAAAGGGGGTGCTGGCGACCTTGGGCGGCTTCCTGCAGCCACAGAGTCCGCACGCCAGCCACTCAGTCGGGCCTGGTTACGGGGTGAGACACTCTTCAAAGAGCAGATGTTATCTTCAGGGCTCCCATTTCCTTCCCTAACTAGGTGTTACTCTTTGGGGCCAAGCTTTATTCTCCAAATTTTCCTACATGACAGACAGAAGCCACTCTTATCATCAGCGAGTGACTGTATGGTCACAAAATTTGGGATCACAGACAGAGCCCCCATGGGAGTCCCATCCCGCCAACTCCACAATCTCACTTAAGGAAGATCCCGTGAGAGATAAGGGGTAGAGTTCCTAATGAGTAACCGAGGCATCCTAAGCAGTGCTGTCCTCTTATTCTACTTCCCATCTTCTCTCAAACTCAGCCCAGGAGAGAGTGAAACCCAGAATAGCCAGGTGGAAGGGTTCTGAGGGACCATCAAGCCCCATTTTCTCATTTTATAGACAGGGATCATAGGCCAGAGAAGTGAGGTTGCTGACTGAATGTCACCCAGCAAGTGAGTGTCGGAGATAAGGTTGAGGGAGCTGAGCATATCGGTTCTTGCCACAGTTCACTAGGGACCCTTCTGATATCCATGTGGATATAATATTAATATTTCATTGTGGAGTTGAAGGTGGAGAGGAATGGTGAGTCCAAAAGGGATGAAGAACCACCAAGACCATGTCCACCCTGTGAACACGGACCCCTGGCCCTCACCCTGCTACTCTGCTACTGGTCCACACCCACCACCCAGCTCAACATGGATGACAATCTTGCCACACTCATCACTGACAGTGGCTCCAGGGCATGATGGCGGGCATGGCCCCAAAGGACTCCTACGTGGGCAGTGTGGTCTGGAGCAAGAGAGGCATCCTGACCCTGAAGCACCCCATCAAACACGACATCGTCACCAACTGGGAGCACATGAATAAGATCTGGCACCACACCTTCTACAGCAAGTTGCACGTGGCTTCCAAGGAGCACCTCGTGCTGCTGACCTAGGCCCCCCTACACCTCAGAGCCAACCGTGAGCACTTGATCCAGATCATGTTTGAGACCTTCGGCACCCCAGCTATGTAGGTGGCCATCCAGGCTGAGCTGTCCCTGTATGCCTCTGGCTGTACCACTGGCATCATGATAGACTCTGGTGACAGGGTCACCCACACTGTGCCCATCAACAAGGGCTATGCCCTCCCTCCTATGCCCTCATCCTGCATCTGGACCTGGCTGGCCAGGACCTGACCAACTACCTCATGAAGATCCTCAGGGAGCATGGCTACAGCTTCACCACCGGGCCAGGTGGGAAATTGTGTGTGACATCAAGGAGAAGCTGTGTTATGAGGCCCTGGACTTCGAGCAGGAGAGGGCCACCACCCCCTCCGGGCCCCCAGATCAGCACCTGAACTCATCCTCCCATTCCTTAACTATCGAAACAGTCTCCTCACTGGTCCTCCCCATCAGGTTCATGCCTGATGACTCATTAATTTAAAAAAATTAAACTTGGAAAAAACACATAACAGAAAAAGAGAAATAACTTGGGGGGGGCAGGTGAAGGAAGGCTTTGGAGGGTCAGCGTGGGGAGCAGAGGTAGCTGTCTATCCACAGTAGAGATGGCCTCACCCGACCCCAGTCCTCCCCTCTGTCTTGCCCTCCATCCCCAAGAATGCCTCCCCCAGAAGAAGGGCTGCAGTTTTTTTGAACCCACGTTTGACATTTTCAGACAGCGATGCAGAGGTCAGCTCCAAAGAGAGGGAGAGAAGCAGCAGGAAAATTACATTCCTCCAGGAGAGGGTGGAGTTGTGGAGAGGAAGGTGCCTGTATGAATGAGAAGAAGAGAGGCAGGAGTTAGGTACAATCTAAAGACAAAATGTGTGCAAAGGAAACTTAGAGATGACCCACCAGATTCCCTTAGTTCACAGACAAGAAAACTGACACTCAGAATGTGGCAGGGATTTGACTGAGGTCAGATGGTGAGTCAGCGTAGGTCTAGGACAATCAGTTCCAGGATCCTGCCCAATCGCCCCGTGTTCTGCCACGGCGCTGTGCTTTGTCCTACCCAGACACTTGCGTGCTGTCTCTCTCCCAGGTAAGAGGTCACACTGGAATGATCACAGAAATTTGTTTGTTTGGAACGGTTGCAGGGCTGGTTTGCCCACAGTCACTCCTGGTGCAACCCCAGACACCAGTGAGCATCTTTTCTTTGTTCCACTGATGACAGAAACAAATTGTATGAGATTTTTCAGAGGGCCGGGGCAGACCCTACCAGATCCTGGTACCACAGAAGCAAAAAAATGATCCCAGATGCCCTTGGGTTAACCAAGAGATTCCTCTTAGTCATCCGTTGCTACCCAAGCCTAGGATCTTACGATACTCCCAGACACGATAAACAGATGATTTCCCACTTACTCAACCCCCCATTGTCTATATATCTCTTCATGATCCTTATGCAGTTTTTATTTTAAGTTGTGAGGAATGAATAATGCCTTACTGTACTAACTCTAAGAGTAAATGCATTTAAAAACAGCAGAGGGTGGGGAAGAAGGAAGGGAGGGAGGGAGGGAGAGAGAGAGCATTTATGTGGCTGCCTAGAAGTAAAGACTTGTGGCAATTCACCCCCTCTCTTTGATTTTGGTCCTGGCTTGGTCACCTAGAGCTGTAGCATATCTTGGATCCTCAGCTTCCTCATTTAGAAAACGGGAATAAAACCGCCAACCTGGTAGAAAACTTAGTGTTTGGAGTTAGACCTGAATTCACATCTTGGATCCACCACCTACCACCACGTGGTCTTGGCTCAGCCCCTCAAGCTCACTGAGGTTTGTCATAAAGGAAACAATAACAATACCTACATCGTAGACACAAGAATTAATTGGACTATTGTTGTAAAGCATGGTAACTGGCTTATAATCAGTGCTTAATATATTTTATCCAGCTGACAAATGATAATAATTTAGTGAATGCCAAAAATGGTACCTATTACCTTTTTAGCTTTTGAGTTCCCTAGTCAGAAACTGTGAATATTATTACATCAGTTTCCTTAAAAGATTCACCAAAAGGCCCTATGATGCCTTAAAATCTTATGATCAAATCACCTTTTGGTTTGAAATTCTACCGTTTCACCTGGTAACACGTAGAAACCCAGTCTTCAGAACTGGTTGATCAGACGAGCCCAAGTCAGTTAGTAGAAAGCAGAGCTCCAGGACGGTGTGGAGGGAGAGACACAGATTAACAGGATTGCCAAGCATCATAGGGGATGCCCGCTATAATTTCAGTGTAAGTATATCCCATGCAATATAGACAACATGGTTCTACTAAAAAGTTATTTGAAGTTTATCTGACATTCAAATTTAACTGGTCATCCTGTACTTTTACGTGCTAAATCTGGCAATGTTAACACAGAACGAATCCGTTTTGATCAGAGGGGTTTTGTTCGGGTAGGAGACTACAAAACATGGGTCTTGTGGGGAACAAGTGGGGAGCTGCACAGCGGGGGCTCGAAAGAACAAGGACAGACCTGGAACGCATGGGCACGAAGGTGCCATGGAAATAACAAGCCAGGAATGAAGATATTCTGGTTGAAGTCCAGCCTCCCATCAACTCACTATGTCCACCTGAGCTAGTTTTACCTCGGTCTACCCATTTGAAAAATGAGTGGCTTTGACTAGATCAGTCTTGTTCATGCTGGGGTACCCATATCCCTCAGGATACAGGAAGATTTTCTAGGGGATGCACAGGCACAGAGGGGTTTAAAAAAATTATATCCTGTTTCTTAAAAGCCACATTTACTTTTTCCTGAATTGACCTGCCTAAGAATGATTCATCCTGAAATTCTCCTTTTCTATCTCTCTTTCATTCTTTCTTTTTCTTTTTCTTTTTAAAGGTGTATTTCTTACCTATCTCTCACATGCATTCAAACTGTAAAAACTTCTGAGTCCCAAAGGGGAAGTTTGAGAATGCGTTTTCCTAAGGATGCGTCCATGGGAGCAAAGCAAAGAAAGCGTGGGAAAGAAACACCTGGGTTTAGCTCCTTGTTTCATTCAGGCGACAAACTCTTAGTAAGCTGCTATGCCTTTAGTTCT